AACAATAATCCGATAACATGTCACAAACTCAATGGCCACAATTACCTTCAGTGGTCCCAATCAGTGATGATGTTCATGTATGGTCGTGGACGGGAAGACTATATCATCGGTAAAGCGGAATCACCCAAACCCGATGATTCAACATTTCGCAAATGGAGGGCTGAAAACAATCAAGTCATGAGTTGGTTAATAAATTCCATGACCACTGAAATTGGTGAGAATTTTCTCCTATTTTCTACCGCCAAAGAAATTTGGGATGCTGCTAAGGATACATTTTCCAATAAAGAAAACACTGCTGAGCTGTTCCAGATAGAGACTACTCTCCAAGACATTAAACAAGGTGATTCAACGGTTACAGCGTACTACTCCAATTTATCTCGTTACTGGCAACAACTAGATTTATTTGAAACTCATGAATGGAAATGTTTTGATGATCGTATTCTCTTTCGAAAATTTGTGGAGACAAAAAGGATCTTCAAATTTTTTATGGGTCTGAATAAATCACTTGATGAAGTTCGCGGTCGCATTCTTGGTACTAAGCCATTACCGAGTCTTCGAGAAGTCTTCTTCGAAGTCCGTAGGGAGGAGAGTCGAAAGCAAGTCATGTTGGGACAAACCGAACATCCTCCTACTCAAAATGTATCTGCGCTCATTTCCCAACGAGATCATCCTAATGATCCAATCGCTCTTGCTGCTCGGGGGAATCTATATGGCAATAACCGCCAGCGCAAAGGGCGACCATTGTGTGATCATTGTCATAAAGTGGGACATCTCAAAGAAACCTGTTGGAAATTACATGGAAAACCAGCGAACTGGAAGCCAAACACTACCAAATCAGAGCGAGAAACTCGAGGCAATGTTGTTGTCTCTGAAACTTCTAACCAACAACCACATACCAAAGAGTTGTTGGACATGCTACAACAACTATTGAACAGAACAACTCCACCAACAACAGTAAGTGGTTCTGGGAATGTACAACAAGGTAACCAAAATTCTCGTGCTCTCCACACTCAAACTCTTCCATCTGGATGGATAGTGGATTCAGGAGCATAGGATCATATGACAGGTGATAGATCCTTATTCTCATCATTTTAAATTTATACGGGTAACCTGCTGTTCGAATTGCTAATGGTACACCTGTTCAAGTTACTGGAATTGGGAGTATTCAGATATCAAGCTCCATAACTCTTACATCAGTATTGTTTGTGCCCACAGAGTATAATCTACTGTCTGTGAGTAAATTGAATCAAGACTTGAACTGCGAAACTAAATTCCTTGCAAATTCTTGTATTTTTCAGGACTTGGGATCGGGGAAGATGATTGGCAATGCTGAATTATGTGCGGGATTGTATCTTCTTAAAACAACGAGTCCTCCACCAACAAAGAAATGCAATGAACTTGTAGTTCAGTCTAATCGTGAGTCTGCTTATGTTTCTGAGTCTTTAAATCATAAAGAT